CAAGGCCGCGGCAACGGCGCCGCCGCCAGGGCTCAACGGGGGCAGCGGGAACCCGCCCGCGCCTCGGCCCGACATCGCTCCGTCCCGTCCGGCGCTGTTGCGATCCGGACTCCGGGCTCCTCGTTGAGTCCGCTCCGGGCTCCTCGTTGAGTCCGCTCCGGACTCCGGGCTCCGTGCCTTTCCGATCTAAATTCCGGGTGCTGAGGTTTGTTGATCCGGCTTCCGGGATTTCCTAATCCAACTTCGCGAGTTCCTCAGACGAGGTCTGGGCTCTGGCCGATCCGGATTCCGGTCCTGCCCGGGAAACTCCGGATCCGGGATCTACTACACGCCGCCAGCCACCCCCGGGATCGGGAGGTTTGGCCGCCGCGGCGCAGATACCCAGAGGCGGCAACTCAGTCTCTGCCCCGCCCAATCCAGCCCAACGCTAGGCCACGCCTACTCCCCGCTACCCAATGGTAGTAGGCCTCCTCAAATCCCGCCCCTCGCGAGACCCGCCCCCACAGACCCCGCCCCTAACCGCCGGTCTCAGAGCTCCGCCCACACCCTTCCGACCCGCCCTGCGCCGGAGGGGCGGGGGCGGAAGCTGCGCGAGGAACCCGCTAGCAGGGCGCAGGGGTCAAAGGTCGAAGGTCGCTAGGGCCTCCTCCAAGGTTGGCAATTATTGCCCTGTGGGGGAGTAGCGTTTACCCTACCACGTCCTAGAAAATAGATTTAGCAAATCTTCCTTCTGCATTTTCAGCTTTAAATATCAACCCTCCGGGGAAAACTGCCGCCAACTTGACTTTCTTTAAAAGCCTGTCGGGGTGGCGGAGCTGCCCAGGGCCGGCGGGGCGGGGCGTGTGAAGGGCTGGCTTGGCCGCTCGCCTGTTTCTTATCACCCTTTTAACGGGGCTCTGCAGCTGAGGGAAGCCTGGCGCTTAACTCCACAGGAAATGTTTGCAGACGAAGGAATTTTGCATGTGCGAAAATTCCCCTGCAGTTACAGAAGGTCTTTCTCTAGGATTTACAGAACTTCATTTTTAAAAATGCAATACCTCCTCAGAAACCACTGTCTTCTGTCAGTGAAAGGTGTTCAGAATAAAGTGCTTCAGTTATGTCAGGCAAGTTCTTTCTCATGGTCTAGGGTTTGCTCCTGTACAGACCAGTCCTTAAGCTTGAATGAGCAGAAGAAACCTCTGGAGCGCTTGTTAAAAATGTAGATTGTGTTTCAGCAGGTCAGGAAAGGGCCCAAGATTCTCCATTTCTATAAGGTACCAAGCAAGCTACTCTCTTGAGTAGCCAAAGAGAGATCCGCAGAAGTTTCTATTCCCAGCCAAGTCTTGCACCATAGCATCCCAGATCCTGTCTACAGTGCAGTTCCCCCAACTCTTTTTAGAAATTAGTTCTGCTCCTCCGCTTTCCCCCTTGCCTCTAGTGATGACCCCTGCTGCTTCTGCTCACCTGCCTCTTGATCTTCTCAGACATCCCCCTGTACGGAAATATGGGTTACCTCTGAATCTGAGAACAGGTCGCTGTGACTGTTTAAGTTACTGAATCATTGAGCCAGGGCTCTTTCTTTCCTGGCGCCTCAAAGGTGGGCAAAGAATTCATGATAAAGCAGCCAAATGTCCATTTTAATTCCCCTCCTAGAAAACAGAAATGAGGACCCTCCTTCCTCCTAGAAAACAGAAATGAGGGTCCTGCACTAGCAGAGCCACTGCAGCACGAGTATAATTCCTGGCCAGGTAACTGACACACCTGGTGCTGCAGACCTCTCCTGCCTGGCCCATTGCTCCCCTCAGCAGTGTCTTTCAGTTCAATCTGCTCTTCTCCCAACTATGTCTCTGGTGAATCCTCTCACCCCCCTCCCCGCACCTCTGGCCTGTACCCTAGTTCTGTATGCATAAATAAATAAATCTCAAAAAATAAACAGTAATGATAGAGGAAGTAGTGGGGCAAATCCCCTGGGGAACTATTCCAAAAGATCCCTGGCAGCTGCCCCCACCCCTCACACACATACTCTCCCAGGATTGTATTTGAAAAATAATCTTTCCATGTAATTTTGATACAAACTCCCTTGTAGAGAACTTTTATTCTACAAGAGACAAGCGAATAAGTGCGTTAAAAACAGATAAAACACCTGAGGCCCCCACACCTCACCAGAGGCCTGGGTCTAGAGCACAACTCTACCATTCATTCTCTCCCCATGCAAGGTAGAGGGTGATAGCACATTTGGACACCATTCCAGCATCCCAGTCTCACAGTTCTCTTCACCGTCACTTCCCAGTCTCTCCCAGAGGTGATTTTTCTGGTGCCTGAATCTGGACCCAGAGCTACTGGTACAACTGAAAAGGATAAAACTTAGACAGAGGAAAGATAAGGCCAGGCTCTCAACTGGCATCTCTGCCTTATCCTCATTCCTTTTCTGGTTCCTAAATGTGCTTGTCCTTTGGGGTTCTATCTTTAGCTCTTTTCTCTAAACATGCTCTACCCAAACTTATCTACTCCCATCCCTTTTATTACTCTTATTTTCTGATGACCCTAAATTTCTAACATCAACCCTCACCTCTCTCCTGAGCTTCAGAACCATATTTCTAACTCTCTGCTGGTTCTCCATACGTCATACGTCATTCTCCATACGTCATTTGAAACCATCTATCCAAAATCAATGTCTCACTGTCCAATGTCCCAGTCCCCCCCCCACCCCCCGTCTGTCCTGGTTAAGGGCATGGGTGCATGGCAAAGAGCCAACCTTGCTTTGCTGAGACATCCAGACTGGTCTTGGAGGCAAATGGAAGCTAAGGAAGATGGAGTGACCCAATAGATACCCAGAGAACCTGCAACCAGCATCAGAGAGGAACATACAGAAAGTTTTGAGGAGCTTGGGATCCTCTTTCTGTGGACCTCCACAGCCCCTCCTTCCTAGTAACCAAGGTCTGTTGGTTTCACCCACTGCATCTTGGATCCATTCTACTCCTGACCAAACTGCCTGAGGAAAGGGCCTTTGCATCTCTTCTATAAGCCACTGAACTGGTTTCTCTGCTAATATCCTATTCTATCCCTTTTTGCCAGTTTTATCTCAACACAGAAAATCTTCAAGTTCCTCAAAGCTCGGGGCTCTGTCTTGTTGGCAGCTGTGTCCCCACAGCATAATTGGCACAAAGTTGGTTGTTTAATACATATTTATTAAATAAATACAATTTCTTTCCCAGGCTTCTGATATGTGCAAGCATCTGTTTATTCCTCAAAGTCAACTTAAATGTCACTGCCCCTGGAATTTTCCATCCCTTCCTAGCCCCATCCTTTAACAGTCACCATCAATTTATTGTTCTCTTTTCTATTTTTCCATAGCAGTACATCTATATTTCTGTAAGTAGACTTATCATATTCTGCTGTGGTCTATTTTGGGACTTGTCTCCATCCATCCCCTCCAGTGTGAGTGCCAGGAACACAAGGAGAGTGCACAGGAAATTACTTTGATAAAAGTTACCTGCTCCCCCAGTTTAGAATTATCCCATCAGAGCAGGTTAAAGCCAGTTAACCGTAACAGTTAACTCTGGCTCTCAAATCTTCCTTTTTCTCCTGGCTCTCTTGGACTTATTGATCTGTGACCTTCCCATGGGATTCCTGCATTTGTGTTTGTTTACTCCTTAGCAGTTCCTCTGCTCACCTTGACTCTGATGGGTAGTCCTCCAAGATTGACTCACTTGATTCTAATTCCTGAGTTTAACCCTTCATTAGGCAGCTCTTCTAATTTTAGATAAGGCTATAGGAACCATTTTGCCTCTGTAAATAACTTGCCTCTGAAAATTGAAGGGGCCCAGAAACCAAGAGAAAGCACTGACAACAACAACAACAAACTCTCTCCTTGGGTTTCTCCTGCTTCTTGGTCTAAACCTCCTACTTCGATGTCTAAACTTCCTGCTTCTATAACCCAGCTCAGTAACTCTCATCCAGGACAGAGCTATCAGGAGTGCCTCCTTCAGGGGTAGGTAGTTACAGAAAGTAATGCCCCTCCTGAAAATAACTCCCAAATCCCCAAATTTCACTGCACCAAGAAACTCAGCCCATGGCACCTGACCCAGCCAAAGATGCCCACGGGATGCGCATGAGAACCCCAAGCTGGGCTCAGGGGAAACACTCTGAGAAGTGACCCTCCCGGGACAATTGACATGGAAGCTGAGGACAGGGGTCCTGGGTGCAGGATTTGCTCCTTCACCCTATTTATGTGGTGGACTGGGAGCGCCTGGGTGCAGGCCTTGCTGGCAGGGCCAGAAGCTAGTTGGCTCCAGCGTGTTACTTGTACTGGTGGACGACATACATCAACAGGGAACAGAGGGCAAAAAGGGCGTTTGGTGTCCAGCTGAGGTGTCCAGGCCACGGAGCTCCCAGCGGCCCCAGAGAGTCGGCGGCTCCCTAAGGGGGCGGAGGCCTAAAGCCAAACTAGCTCCTGGGGCCCAGCAGGCACCGCGGACAACGCCCTGCGGCTTCGATGCCCACGGGCCTTTTCACTTCTGTACGTACTAATCGTGACCTCGTGTCAAAGAGGCACCGGCCCTGGGCCAAGGGGCACCGGCTCCCTACCTCTCTCTCCGTTCACTCCTCTCGCCGCCGTCGCGCCAGCCCGCCCTATTTGTCTCAGCCAATCGTTGCGAAGCCTCTGGAGGACGTCACGAGTTTCTAGGCAGATCAGGAAACCTGTCCTCGCGCACCACCGCGTGGCGGCGCCGACAAACCGTCTGCGCGCGGACAGGTGGTTCGAGCCGAGCGCCGCGGCGGCCGCGGGACGCGGAGTGACCAGAGCAGCGACGAGCGGCCCTCAGTGAGAACTGCGTCTTGTTTTGTTTGCTTACGTTTACGCTAGTGCCCGTCCAGGCTTTCCTGTCGCACTGATGGAGATTGGCTTCAGGGTGCCCTCGCCACCCCGCCCTTCAGTGGGCAGGAACCCCGAGGGGCACGCAGCGGAGTCTCCCCCCCCACACACATATATGCGTTTTTAATGTTTGAAAATGCCTGGCTGGCCTGTTGGGTTGAAAGCACGAGAGGATGTACACGCCAGACGGGGGGAAACGGGGAAACGCCGACCCGGCGCGTGAATAGTGTGTAGTTCAGTCACCTTTATCCCTGCTTGAAGAACCCTACAACCCTCTGGATGCTTGGCACCCGTTAGTATAAGAAGCGAAGGATCCTGCCCCCCACGGGGCCGACAGGCTGGGGGCGGGGTGGTGGAGCGCAGTAAGGAGCCTAAGAAGTAACTGAGAATGTGCTAGAAGGTAGAGCTGCTCTGGAAGAAGAAAGCAGCTTAGGCGGAGGGTGTGTGAGCCGTGGTGGGGTGCCCAGGCCCCAAGGGTGGGAAAGAGGGTGGTCTTGGTAGCCTCATTCAAATACATTGAGCGGGTTGAAGGAATATACAGGGGAGAAGGGAGTTCCAGGTAGAGGGAAGAGACGCTGCAGGGCGCGGAGTGATTTGTGTGTAAGAACCCAAGAAGCTCTGAAATAGAAATGGACGGTGAGAATCCATTTTCACACACCTTGTCGTCGTTGTTGGGGAGTCCAGTTGCCACCACACAGCCCAAGCAGCCCAGCAGGGTCAGTGTTTGCTGCCCTCATCCCCTGCACCCGTCTCCAGCAACCGCCCCCCAGGTTTTCCTAAATTTTCCTAAAATTTCAGACAGCTTAAGCCTTTGGTTTGTGAAATCATCTGCAGACTAAGCCAAAGGAATTTTTAAAATTTGAAATTGTTTCTCCTTGGGGATGCTGCTTTATTACTAACAAATGATAGAACATTTCATGTTTCAGTACTGAATGACCAGGAGACACGTGAAAACTCAGAGCTGTGGGGGATCATGAAGGTGATATGAATGTATACCTGCTGGCTTGCCTTATGGGGGCAGAGATAGGAACGCTTTTTTAAATGAAGGTTGTAGGATCTCAGCGTGGCCTATGAGATTCACGACAAGATTAGGCTTTGCAGGGAAAACAACATGCTACGGAGAGTTTAAGAAAATAGGCGCTTGGGGGTTAAACTCTGGGGAAGCTGGGATGTAGTCTCCCTTTGAAAGCACAGAGAATCTGAATTCATTGATGTAAAGAAACAGCCCAGCAGTCAGGGGCATGTTATTTGGAATTGCTGCAATGCTAGGAGAACTAGAAAGAGACATAAGTGACTTTTTGCCACCTTCTCCACAATTGCTTTCCCTTTCTTTTTCTGCAGCTTTAGGCTCTTACCTACGATGGAAATGCGTTTGTTGGTTGTATGGGCCCTGCTGGCCTTGATCCCCTGCCCAGGTGAGGCTGCTTGAGAAGGTCTGTAGCCAGTGTGTCCCAGGGCACAGGTGGCAGGTCAGTGGGGTAAATGGACGGCACTGTAGCACTCAGCTGGGAGAGATTCCTATTTTTGTGTCACTGCGACACAGAATCCATAGGTGTCTGCCTTGTAGTTTGGATAACCCAAACTACAGGATAATAGACAGGATGCCAGACCGTAAGAGAACTCAGAAATGTGCCTGCTCTGCTTGACTCCCTGCTGCCCCCCCCCTTTCTCTCATGAACTGCTACAGTGGGCTTCTGATAGGAGGGAGCCCTGCCGGGTGGTGCATCGGGTTAAAGCGCAGCAGTAGGAAGCTGTCTGTCAACAGCCACTGCAGCAGGGGTTCCATCCCAGGGCAGAGGGGTGACCCACGTGGCACAGCAGACCTCCCCTGTCCTGCCCACTGCTCCTGTGTTTCAGTCAAGACTGTTCTGCTCCCCACTCTGTCTCCGGGGAAACCTCTCACTCCCACACACATTTGGCCTATGCCCCAGTACTTGTATGCATAGATAAATAAATCTTTTTTTTTTAAAGGGTGGGGGAACGGGAGCCTCAGCGGCCAGCACTCCTCAAGAGTTGTGTTTCCCAGAAGGGGCTAGTATTTGGGCGCGGAAGTAGGTAGGTGGCTGCGGAGCAGGACCCTGAGGGAGGCTGTGTCCTCCCCTGTGTCAGGCCATTGCTCTCTCACTGCACCTGAGATTTCCCCACCAGACTAAACTCCGAAGTATACAAAACCATCTTTGCCTTCGCACCAGAGCGAAAGGAAACCACCTCTTTTTTGACAGTTACTTAGTGGCTCTCAAACTTTGGTGTGCAGGGGTCACCAGGGGTGCTGGTCTGCTCTCTGGGGTGTTTTCAGACCCTAACTTTGTGAGCTCCTAGTCACTCAGGCTGCGGAGGGGCTGGGGTCTGCAGTCTCACCAGCACTCCTTGGAATTCTGGCTCAGCCATATTTGAGAGCAAAACCACTTTGCATATAAGTAACAACACTCTTCCCAGGGCTCTGTTTAACCCCCTGAGGGCCTCAGCAGCTAGTCCTGGAAGTTTAGGAAGCGCATGGTTTCCTGGGCATGATTTTATTATTTTTAAAAATATTTATTTTTATTTATGCATACAATGACTGGGGTGCAGGCCAGAAGTGCAGGGGGTGAGAGGATTCACCAGAGACCAGAGTGGGGAGCAGAACAGGCAGAGCTACTGAAATACACTGCTGAGGGGAGCAGCAGGTGAGACATGGTTTCCATGGTGGCTCTTGGGGAAATCAGGATTCCAAAAAGATAACAGAGGGGTGGTGACAGAATCAGGGCTCTCCCTTGTTCATTAATGGCCTTTGTCATGCCTTGCCTTGTCCTCTGTACCTTTTTTTATTCCTAAAGTGAATGGGATTCTTATTCTCCAACCTTGGACTAGATGAAGAATAGGCTGTATGTTTTGTTTGGGTCTTGTGCTCCTTACCAGAACCTTTGTTCTGTGTGGTTCATCATTGCAGGAGCCACAGAAGAGCCATTTGAGGTTTCTATTTGGCCAGATCAGGCCCTGGTAAAGTCTGGACAGTCTCTAGTGGTCAACTGCAGCACCACCTGTCCAGACCCAGGACCCAGTGGAATCGAGACCATCTTAAAGAAAAGCCAGGTGGGCAGAGGGCCCCAGTGGAAGGAGTTCCTCCTGGAGGATGTCACAGAGAACTCCATTCTGCAGTGCTTCTCCTCCTGCGCAGGGATCCAGAAAGACGCAAGCCTTGGCATCACTGTTTACGGTGAGCGGGGCTGAGAGGTGGGGAGGAGAGAGGAATGAGGCAACACGGTGTCTCCTTCAGAGAACCAGGGCTCTTAGTAAAGATTCCTGTAGGAGACCCAGACTGCTGGGAATTCTCGAGCCAATACTTCTGTTTCCCTTTGGTGTGAACTTTTAAGTTAAGAGAACACCATCAAGCATCCAGACATCTGTGCTTGAGACTATGTTCAGATACAGGAGGCATATGTGAATAATGCTAATTACAAAAATTAGTGCTGAATTATTTGCCACAAAGTCTTGGAGTAAGTGGGGACTGGAGAAAGGGTCACCGTGGGCTGGGGTGGTTGGAGGAGTCTTCATGGGAAAGGAGGCTCCTGTAGGTCACTTGCAGGATGGTTGGGATTTGAAGTGGGGGGTGGGGTGGGGTGAGGAGGGGCTCTCAAGCAGACAAGCAGCATTACTAGCAAAGATCTGGCCATGAGTGTGGCTGCTCTGGGGTACAAGCTCGCCCACGTAGGTGAGTTTTTGTGCCGTGCTAAGTTGCGCCTCCGTAGCTGCTCATGTCTCCGTGTGCCTCGCTCAGGTAAGAGATGAGCGCTCCTCAGGTGAGATGTGGCAGCCCTTGAAGCTCAGGACTTCCGCTCAACAGCCATGTTCCTTGGCTGAAGCTTTAATCTCCCTGGATGGGCAGAAGAGCCAGGAAACTCACTTGTCCCCTCAAGGGCAGCAGTGACCGCTGACACTGTTGATGTTTAAGGGGATCGGGCACCTAGCACATTTCTCTCTGGAGAAGGGAGTGACCGTCTCTCATCAAAATCACCCTTTTCTCTTAGAGCCACCGGAGCAGGTGCTCCTGGAGCTGCAGCCTGCATGGGTGGCCGTGGGTGAAGCCTTTACTCTGAAGTGCCGTGTGCCCGCTGTAGCGCCCCTGGAAAACCTCACCCTCACCCTTCTCCAGGGTAGCCAGGAACGGCACGGAAAGAACGTGAGCCTGGCCGTGGCCACCCAGAGGGCGGAGGTCACCGTCAGTGTCAGAGCCCAAAGGGAGGACGACAGGGGCAGTTTCTCCTGCCGTGCAGAGCTGGACTTGCGTTCCCTGGGCGGGGAGCTCTTCCGCGGCAGCTCTGCCGTCAGGCTGCTCCGCACCTTCGGTGAGTCACGCGGGTGTGAAGGATCCCGGGGCTCGTTTCTGTCATCCAGCCTTGGCTTTGGGGGCTCAGTTCCCATAGGATGGTGGAGGAGGGTTTGAGGGTGATTGCAGTCTACCCCTACTTGGGCCTTCAACTCACCCTGGGGCGCCCTAAACCTCACCGCTCCCTAGGATGTGGGGTCCTACAACACACGTGACTCATGTGGCCACTCTTCTTTTCCTCATGTCTGGGCAGAATTCTCTCAGCTCCCCCAAATCTGGGTCTCTCCTCTCCTGGAGGTCGGGATGGCGGAGACTGTGAGCTGTGAGGTGGCTAGGATGTTCCCAGCCAAAGAGGCAATGTTCTACATGTTCCTGGGGGACCAGGAGCTGAGCCCCCTGCTCTCCTGGAAGGGAGACGCAGCATGGGCCAACGCCACTGTCCGGGCCATGGAGACCGGCGACCAGCAGCTGTCTTGCCGTGTGTCTCTGGGTCCACTGGCACAGAACACAAGAAAGCCAGTGCACGTCTACAGTAAGTGACTCGCCCCCCTGTTTCCTGCGAAGACTGTGTGCTGCGGGTTGGGCTGCGGGCCCCTCTGCGCCTCTCCGCTGGGTGCACCCCCAAGTGGACGCTAGTCTGCAGGCAGGCAGATTGGAGGCATGCGTGAGCCAGCAGCTCGACCTGTGGCCGTAAGCCCTCTACCACAGGGGTGTGCCTGCTTGAACTCGCTCCGAGGGACAGCTATCGGAGGCCCTCTCCCGCTGCGCACCTGGCTGCCCCCGCCCCGGCACGGGGGCAGTAACGGTGTCGGGCCTTGGCCTGTTGTCTGCCTGCCCAGCCCGCAGCGCCAGCGAGGCGCAGAGGTGGCTGCCAGTTTGGAGACATGAGCCTGCATCTGCCTCTCTCCTTCCTTTGCTCATAGGCTTCCCTCCGCCAGTCCTGGAGATAGCGGAATTATACCCACTGGCAGGAACAGACGTCAATGTGACCTGCTCGGGGCACGGATTAACATCCCCCAGCCCTACTGTTCGCCTTCAGGGAGCTCCGGACCTCCCTGTGCCTGGAGAGCCTGCCTGGTTTTTACTTACCGCCAAGGAGGAAGATGATGGCAGGAATTTCTCCTGTGAGGCCTCTTTGGAGGTCCAGGGTCAGCAGCTGACCAAAGCCACTGCAGTCCAGCTCCATGTCTTATGTGAGTAGAGGCCCGGTCTCAGCAAAACAAGGGTTATTAGTCTCCCGTTTCCAGGACCTTGATCTGCAGCTTCATTATTGAAGACGCCATATTTTTCTCATTCAAACAAAATCAAAGGAGAAAATAAAACAGCAGCTCTCCAAGCTTTCCTTACCACTAGGAGAGCGAGTCGGGGAGAGACCCAAAGGGGAAACTGGGACCGGAAAAGAGAAAGCATTTCCGTGGGCAAGCAGCATTAGCTGAGCACTGGCGGTTGAGGACAGGGAAAGAGCATATGCAATTTCCACATGGAAATTTATATTTTGAAAAGTAGAAAAGTCTCTCCAGATTCATCCCTACTTGTCTCCTCACTCACTCGCACCAAAGATGGGGAGCAGAGAGCCCCAGGGCTGCCAAGAACTGGGGTTCAGATCACCTAGTCCCAAGTCATCAAAATGTCCTATGCTGTATCTCAGCCAACTTGCCCACAGGGAAGGCGGGTGGGAGGGTGGCTCAAGGCCGGGGCCTGATGGCCCTCCCTGGGGGAAGAACGCCGTGGGCTGGGGTGCAGGGCCTTTGAGCTGCTGAGCCCAGTTCCATGGGGACTCTCTCTTTTTCAGACAAGCCAAGGTTAGAGGAGTCCGGTTGTCCCGGCAACCAAACATGGGTGGAAGGGACGGAAGAGATGCTTGCCTGCATCCCAAAGGGAAACCCGGCTCCAACCTTGGTGTGTACCTGGAACAGCGTGGTCTTCAGTCTTGAAGTCCCGCAGAAGGCGACCCGGAACCACACTGGGACCTACTGCTGCACGGCCACCAACCGGCTGGGCTCTGTCAGCAAAGAGATCGCTGTCGTCGTTCAAGGTGACCGTGGTGATGGGCTGGGCTGGCGCTCCCCCAGGACTGGGATTCGCACCCAAACATGGGAAGAGGGAAGATTTTAGTGGGCTGAGGAGGGTGAGGTGGAGAAGTGGGGTAGGTGGGCTGGGGGGGGTGAGGTGGAGAAGTGGGGTAGGTGGGCTGGGGGG